TTTTTTTTTTTTTTTTTTTTGCCACTCTCGAACGGGTGAAACTGGAATATGCTTTAAAGTATCCTGGCAAAAGTGAGGAAAAAATTCGTTGCTAGAAAACGAATTATTGGATTATCATCGAGAGGGAGAAGGGGGGGTATGGAATTGGGAAAAAAATTTATTCCATGACTGGTGTAAATATTTGGAAGTTTAAAGTTTGGGGGAACTTCTTTGAATTTGATTAAAGGGGGAGATTAACTGTTTTTGTAAAAAGTTTTAGAGGAAAGTCGATCCAAGTTAGCTGGGAACGTGTATTAAAAATATAATTTGGTTTAGAGTTGTGGCTTGTGGTGTTCATATATATCATGTTATTGATGTAATTAGAGATGTCCAGTTAGAAAGTAGAGTGTGCAAGAATGTGTTACAGTATCTGATGTTTCAAAAAAAAGAGATCAAAAAATTTGGAATTGATATATGTCTCGATATTCTGTCGATGAATGTTCATTAATGAAAGATTAATATTTCCATTAATATTTCCTCCATTATCGTCTTATATACAATCTTGCAATTTTATCAGCAAATTTTATTAAAACACAAGGAAGATGTTCCTCGTAAAATGAAAAAAAAAAAAAAGAAAAAATAAGCAAGATTTTTCTTTATCCTCTTATGCAATTATATTATGTTATATACATTTTATTCCGATATAAATTCAATGAATTTCAATTCGATGATAATTTAACAATTTAATAATTTCACCAATTTCAAATAAATTAATTAAATTTCACGTTAAGAGTTATTACAGATAAAATAATATAGAAGATAAAATGAATGAGATGAAATGTATGTTACGAGATACTGCAGCATACTATATGATTCATTTTCAAGTACCGTATAACTTTACTTCAATTAATCTCGTAAATTAATAATTTAACGACTTTATTATAAGGAATAATAAATCATACAAAGAGACATAAAACGTAGCAAAGGATTTCCTTATTAAAATAATTTAAAATAGATAACGAATAACGTTAACTAACACAATATTAAATAATGTAGTAATAAATCTGTGTATACATATATCTACCATTACGAAGTAAAGAATATATTATATAAAAATTGGCTTATGAATATATGTAACAATACCCGTTTCCAACTTGTCTTATCTCGAATACAGTATATCTTTTGAAGAAAGCCATACACTTATATTAATACCAATATATGAAATAAAATAAATTTCGCGAGAAAACGATAAAAAAAAAAAAATAATAATAGAAATATTTTCCAAACTCGAAATTTTTAAAAATTCTCCTTCCCTATTCTATCTTTAATTTATTACTTAATTTATTTAAATTATTAAATTATTAAATAATTATTACATAACCTTCTTTCTTCTTTTCATATATAAAAATCTTATTTCTGTTTAAAAATAAAACTCAAAGCTTTATCTCTATACACGATCACGAAGAATACAAAATTTTCAAGCACATAAGAAATTTCAATCTTAGAAAAAGTATTCTCAATATTTCCTAATTGAAAATAATCCATATGTTTATTGGTACAAGCTGAAGTTATATTCGAACGGAATTCGATTAGTACACTAATTATACTTCCCGTAGCGGAATTTTAACAATAAGAAAATAGATTTCGCGTAAGGAGGGGATAGTAGAACGGATAAAACATTTTAAACGCTTAATGGGTTAACGATTACTTACGTCGTAGTAACAAGCAAAATTCCCGGTAAAGCTAACAATGAACCCCCGTTTGAACACGAGGATTTTCATTAACGAAGCAATCTCACCTGGCCGAGCGTGTGTTCGGATTGCATTTTCATCGAATGTCATGGCAGGAAGAAAAAAAAAAAAAATAGTTGCAACAATACCCGTGTAACGATCACATGCATTGTCAAGGCGGCTTCACCGCGCCGGTTCCTCATGAATAATGGATACACGGCTATAAGTAAGTGTAATGAGAAATGCGCTAATTGAATCTTCCGGGGTGTAATTAATATAAACCACGCGTCCGTGGCTGGCCGACCTGTAAGCATTAATTAAATAGCAAATGAGTTTGGCGCACCAAACAGAAAAACGGTGTGTATT